TGGACCTGGGTGTCCTCCATATATTTATATTTATATCTCTCTAGCTCCATCTATTTATTTATTATTTTTTTTATTGTTATTTTTTTCTGTATTAAATGTTCCCAAAAATAACACTATCTTTATTAATTTTCTTTAGTTTTAAAACCACAGTGAGATCAAAATCTCATTTACAAGCGGGACTGTGGCAAAAGTAAACCACACCCATCATATGAGTTATAAAAGTCTCAAACACAATAAAACAACAAATTTTAACAATTTAATCAATCATACAAGGCAAAACAGTATTGAAAATAACTATTTAAAAACACTGACCCTGATCAATGGATTCATGTTGCTTGTTGTCAGGATATGTTTTAAAGAAATGAGATATGACAGTTTTGTTCAGACTGGAGAAGGTTCCATGTTGTTGAAGCAGCAATTCTGAATGTTTGTTTCCCTTTTTCTGTTCGAACTCGGGGCACAAGCAAAAGGAAAATGTTGTTGGAATGAAGCGCGTTGCAACGGTTTGGTCTTTGAAAGAGTGAACCAAAGTAGGAGAGTCTGGTTAAATTGAGTCTTATAAACCAAAGACATCCAGTGAGTGTCTCCGTGCACTGAGAGGAGGCATGTCAGCTACACAGTTCACAGTGAAGTGTGAGGCACATTGAGAAACAGTGTTCAGTGATTTTAAACGTTTAGCAGAGACATTCATGTACAAAACACCATAATCTTAAGAAAACACATTTGTCACGTTGTTGTCTTTTCAAACTTAAGCAGAACTTTAAGAATATAAATAGTTTTTTGACAGTTGCCTCATGTCACATTATTTTTTTTCTAACGTTAGGCCTTTAAAACTAGAACGTGTTACGATCTGGTGGTGGTTGAACTCAAAGTCCAGGCAGGACTCGGGGAACTCAGGAGGTAAGAATAATCGAGCTGATGTACATATGAAACAAAAACAAAAGGCTGGCATGGCAGCAAACTTACATGAAAACCAGGGAGACATGGAGGGAGGCAGAAAACAGGACTCCGTTCAAACCAATGCCTTGACAACAAGGAACACAGTGACGCACACTAACGACAGACAATGACAAACACCTGGGGGGAAGACAATCAGGAGCAGGTGGGAACGCAGGAGCTAGGACAGATCACAAGAGGGAGACACTAAGGAACACAATCCTCACAACAGGGGAGGTTTACAAACCCAATTATTTGGTTGGGTTAGAAAAAAGGTATGATTAGGGCTGAAATATAGTTTCTGTACAAAAGTCACATTGATCAGTGCAATGTAGGATATAAAATTACATTTTTGTCCTTACTGTATAAAGCAGGGAATATATGAAACTTTGTCATAACTAAAAGCATAACGTGTGAAAAATAACAGAAGGTTCAGTTTTAGAAGAACAGTCTCATCCCAGCCTCACAATACATTACAATTCATAGTGAATTACTTCCTGAACGCCTCCTTCCATTTCATGAACAGTTTTTCACCTTTTCCTCCTCATCAGAAATCTCCTTCCCATCTTCTTCCTTTTTATCCTTTCTTGTTTTAACTTGTGCACATTCTGTCTCAATGTTCTCTCTCCTCTTTGGCGAAGAGTGTTCAACGTAAAATTCAAGTTTTTTGGCATACTTTGTCTGCTGCCAGGGGCAGCACGGTGGCGCAACTGGTAGAGCTGCTGCCTCTCAGCGAACAGGTCCTTGGTTCAAACCCCGGTCCAGGGGCCTTTCTGGGTGGAGTTTGCATGTTCTCTCCGTGCATGCGTGGGTTTTCTCCGGGTACTCCGGTTTCCTCCCACAGACCAAAAACATGCATGTTAGGCTGATTGGTAACTCTAAATTGTCCCTAGGTGTGAGTGGGAGAGTGAATGGTTGTTTGTCTCTATGTGGCCCTGTGATGGACTTGCGACCTGTCCAGGGTGTCCCCCGCCCCTCGCACAGTGATTGCTGGACATGGGCACCAGCGACCCCCGTGACCCAAAATGGAATAAACGGGTAAAGATAATGGATGGATGGATGGATGTCTGCTGCCACCGCTCCGATCTCAGCAGCATCATGGACCTTGAACTAACCATCTTCATTGCTGCTGATCTACAAAGAAAAAGACAACTTGCATCAGCTGTATAAAGCAAAATATAAAAACTAAAAATTTAATAAATATTTTTTTCAAGGTAATATGCACACTCAGTGTCTCTTAACATGCATTCAGTCAAATTATAATAAGCTAATTAAATCAGTTGTTTCAGTTACATAAACTGTAATGCAGCTAAGAAAAGCAGCTGTGTCAAAAGATACAATTGTCTCACACACACTCATTTTAATAATGATTTCCTTCAAGATAAGAAAAGAAAAAGGATGAGAATACTTTGAGATGCATGTAGTATCTGAAATGATTTTACTCTCTGGTACATTTTGACCTTTAGTATATAATAGGTGTACGTTTAGGTTTCATTGATAAATTTAACGTCAAAAGAATAATCCAAAATATCATGATTAGATTCAATAAACATGTTGTGTCACCTTGAACAATCATTTCTATATTGTTATCCAAATATACAGAGTTTTGTTTTTTCCTGAAACAAAGAGAGAAAATATGCAGCAACAGATTAAAATGTATAGATCTTATCCACAAAAGGCATTTTGAAAATATGAATCCGATATGAGAGAGTACCTGTAACATTTCATGACCAAACAACAAGTAATAGCTGAGATGAGAATTCCTTTTAAAGAGGATAAAATAACGTGTAGCCACGGAACTGAGGAGGTTTTGGAAGGATCTGCTAAGAGAAGAAACAGAACAAAAACTAAATTGCTACTGTACAATCAACTTCATGAATATGGTCAAAACAAAGAGGATACAAACAGGAGATTTCCAGCAGGAAATGATTTTAATGAAAGAGACACTTTGAACGTGTACTTCAGAATGATAATTCAACTTCTAACGTGAACAATGGACATTTCTCTCCATACATCAAACTTTAATTTGACAGTTCCTAACAAGTATCTTTGGAAAATAAAAAAATAATAAAAGTATTTCATTTGAACACCCCTCCCCCTCCAAACGTGAACATCATATTAATTGATCATTTTGCAGATTGTCTACATTGTTTGCTGATATATTTTTAATGCAGTGAGAAACGGATAAATTAAAAAGCAATGACACCAAGGACATGAGAAATATTAAAAATTCTGACCAGCGCAGTCATTTTGGATTAGTTTAAATGTTCTGAACATCCCGTTTACAACAAACCTACTTATATAATCAAGTACAACATTCTTACAAATTACTGTTACATTGGCTGAGCTGTTCAGATGTTGTGCAGAGAGTCCAGCATCTCCTGCTGTCACATTAAGGATGGACAAAGATCTAGTTCTTTTGTCTTGCTGCTGGATTTCCGTAGTGTTATAAATTTTAGTTTATTTCCAAATTCCATCTTAGTCCATCTTAAAACTGAAAGTGGTAAACTGTCGACACTGCAGTGCAGATTTAGATCATCCCCCTCTTTAACAGATGTTTTACCAGTGATCAGAGGCTTTTTTCTATTTGTGGAGTACATTTACAAAAAATATTTTCCCTTTATATAAAATTAACAATAATTTGCGATGCAAAAAGGACTCCAAAGTAGATGCTGCAATGTGTATTTTCATTAGTAATAAACAACATACTATTTGTTATTTAATAAACTTCTCTTTAAGTACATGTTCATTCTGGTTATCAAAATTTCGCTTTGACAGAACTCACAGCTCACGTTCAGCGTCACAGTCTCTTCTGTTACTGCGCCTCCGGTGAAGCTGACCCTACAGGTAACGTTGGTGCCGTGGTGTTCAGATGAAGGGTCAAAGGTCAGAGTTGAGCTGTGTCTTTGTGTGACTGCAGTCAGATTCTCAGTGTGGAAGTCAGTGATGTTTCCTGTGAACTGAGAGCTGTTCTCTCTCGTTCCTCTCCACGTCCAGGTGATTTCAGGACGAGATCCAGAGCAGAGACCAGGAGCAGTGCAGGTCAGGGTGGCCTTCTGTCCCTCCATCAGAGGAGGAACCTCCACTGTGGGTTTCTGACTTAGACCTGAGGAAACATGGTTCATGCGTTTGAAGGTTTATCAGGAAGTGATGTTCACTCTTGTTGCCAACAGAGGTCACCAATATTCAATAATGACTTTATTCTTTAGAGTCCATCCATCCATTATCTTTACCGGCTTGTTCCATTTTGGATCACAGTGGTCGCCGGTGCCCATATACAGCAATCACTGTGCGAGGGGCGGGGTACACCCTGGACGGGTCGCAAGTCCATCACAGGGACACATAGAGACAAACGAGACAAACAACCATTCACTCTCTCACTCACACCTAGGGACAATTTAGAGTTACCAATCAGCCTAACATGCATGTTTTTGGTCTGTGGGAGGAAACTGGAGTACCCGGAGAAAACCCACGCATGCACGGAGAGAACATGCAAACTCCACCCAGAAAGGCCCCTGGACTGGGGTTTGAACCAGGGACCTGCTCGCTGAGAGGCAGCAGCTCTACCAGTAGCGCCACTGTGCTGCCCTCTTTATGAGTCTAAAATCTCAAATTATTTTTATACACAAAACAAAAAAGTCAATATATTTATATTTGTTGCAGCTTTTCTTACCTCTAACAGAAACAGGCGGTCTTAGATAAAATGTTATGCCACTTGTTTCATCACCTATTAGACCATTTACTCTGATTTGATACGTTCCAGAATCAGACTTCTTGAGGTCATTAATGATGATGCTGCAGTTCAACTGGCTCACATCTGGCTCCAACAGCAACACTCGTCCTTTAAACTCTGACTGAACTTTGTTCGGGTTGGTGTGAAATATCATGTCAGATTCCACACATTTAGTTTTGGATGCGTCACATTTGAACCAAACTATATTTCTTGGTGTGAAATAATAAGAAGGGATGAAAGAGCATGGCACCACAACACAGAGTCCAGCTTCTGCTGTTATGGTTTCATCACTAAGAGTAATGCAGTAATATCCTGACTGTAATGTATAACAGTGTTGTTTTGTCCTGGCTGATGCATCTGTTAATTCAAAGAAAAACACAGAAACAATTCATTAAAGAAACAGTTAATTACTACATATCAAAATGAATTTGTGAAAACTGGAATTATTCTTTTAATATTCTGTAAAGTGTAAATGTGTCAGACACAACATTAATTCTTTAGCACTGTTTGTTCGAACTGTAAATGCAAATCTGTCAATATTTAAGTCTTTAAATAGGATTGCTCTTTTTTATTACTTAATTCATATTTCATTCTTTTCTTTCCAGTCTTTCCAGTCCATTCTAATAAGTAGATGTCCTAAATATATCTGTTAGTGTCTCTGAGAGACACCAAACACATTTTGTTGTATTCTAATACTAAGGCAATAAAGGCTCTTTTTTTAAATCTACAATAACAGCTTTTGTGCTGGAATTTACATTTTATTCAGAATTTAAAACAAAAATAAGGTGTTTATCATAAAGTCCAAGACAAAATAATCTAAAAGTGTGTTCTTTAAAGTATTGTCGCAAATGTTTGAGAATTTATGTTGTGAATTTTTTTATTATATTATGGCTGCGAACATCTTTCTGTAATGTGTGCACAGAACATTCTCTTGTCTCGGCCTGAAGGCCAGCTCGCCGGCTCGAGGTGCCTCACATGGTGTTCAAGTTCAAGTTTATTTGTTTATTTATTTATCCATTCATTTAAAAGAAACAAAGTAAACAAAACAAATTCATCAGAAAGAAAAAAAACGTTGAAAAGGGTGCAGAAAGAAGATAAAAAATTCTTATATCTGCCTCTTATTTAAAAAAAAGAAATATATATATATTTTTTTTTTTATTTTATTTATTTTCATTTACCCTTTATTTATACAAGTAGTCTCATTGAGCCACGAGAACTCATTTTCAAGAGAGACCTGTTTGGGGAGCAGATGGTGGTTAAGAGCCTTGCTCATGGGCCCAGGGTGGGGCGAATAAGGGCGAATGTGGGCGCTTCGCCTACCCCACACACATTATTGTCGGTACCGGGGCTTGAACCGGCAATCTTCCCATCACAGGCCCACCTTCTCTAACCTCTGCGCCACCACTCCCCCTAATATATTCAAGTTGGTTTATTGTCATTGTCACCACGTGTGGTACATGAGGTGGAATGAAATTATGTGCAGGGTCCCAGTTACACCCAACAATAGCAAAAATATAAAGTGTAAAAAGAAACGGTTTACATGGATCTAAGATATAACGAACGCCAAACGTTACGTGAAAAGATCTAAGATAAGCGCTAAACACTATTAATGTGAAACAATGCGGCTAAACAACAGCAGCCCGAACATGAGTCTGTGGTGAGCAGATGAGGATGAATGAATACATCAGCATGAGATAATCAGCAGCATGGATAATCAGCAGCACAGATAAGTCACATCACCAATATGACACCATGAGAGCATGCCCAAAACATTCTCTCATCTCCAGCTGGAGGTCAGCTAGCCTACCGTGGATCTGACTGCAGCTGGCTATGAGGGAACGCCTGCTGGACTCTGCTGCTGTTAAAGTCTGCAGCAAACTCTGTTCGATGCTCACATGATCCGTGTGTGTCGTCTGTTTTGAATGAGTCCTTGCAAGTAAAAGGCCGGTTTAAAATCTTCTTGTTTCCTCAGAGTGGCTTGAGTAAGTAGATAATACAAGGATATTTATTTATCTAACAGCAAACAAATGCAGTAACGCATGTTAAATATCCATGGCATCATATAAATACTGAGTTGAAACAGAATATTCTACCCGAGTCAGCGTTGGTGCCTCCCACAGAGAAGAGCAGAACTGTCCAGATGAGAGCAAACATCTTTCACCGTATCCCTGCACAGAAAAAAAAAACAGAGAAGCAGATGTAGGAAAAACATCAGTATCAGTGGGAAAACAAACAGATGTTCATATCACAGGATGTGGAGTTTCACCCTCCAGTTGTATCAACACACTTTATCAAGAGGTGTGGTCACGCTGGCTTTTCACCACCTTTTGGCCGAAGTTTGTTTAGTCACAACAAATTAACACATTTTTTAATGATCTTTCAAACTCTACCAAAAAAAAAAAAAAGTAAAATAAGTGGACACAAACAACATTTAAGTTTTATTATTCAGTGTCAGATCACGTTTGATAATTGCATCACATGTGAGCATGTGTTATTTAATCCAGCTTAGAACTAAATCTACAGTCACATTTTACTTTTATCAACTGAACCACCTTTAAAAACTGAAATAACACGGACATTTTGTTTTACAGCCAATAATACTAAAATATATGAAAATTAATGTTTTACCTTGTCTCTCTTGTTGTTCTCTCCTTTCTAAAGTTTCTTCTCTGAGGTTTCTCTTCCTCTTCTCTCTTTATTCCGTCTTTGTGCAACTTCACAGTTTCAGTAAGTTTCTTGCCACAGACCTGAGGAATGTTCCTCCTTCTCTACGACAGTTCTGCTTTGTAAACTTTACTATATATTTATTAACGTACGAATAATTTCAGAATTTCTCAACATAACTTCATTCTCAGTCTGAACGCTCTCCAACCACTTAATGAGGCAAACCAAGTAATTTGTTTTTTTTAGAAACTATGATTTTTTTAAATCTATTTATTTTTAAACTAGGTGGTCATTTAACAAGAATGCCATCAGAACATTTGGCACTTTAGATTTAATATTTTTGCATCTTTAAAATCAGACTAATGAGCACATTTGGAGAAATGTGGTGTTTAGCGTCTTTTTGGAAGACACTTTGGTAAAAAAATAAATAAAAATAATTAATTACTTAATGGCTTAAGGTCACCGTCCAATCAGAAAGTCAGTGTTTCAGAAAAATGATAACTTTATTTTCCTCACAAGTTCTTTGTATTTTTGTCTTCATGTCACAGTTTATGTACATTTTTTCCACTTTAGAAATCACAAATGTTACATTTAATATTTTCACAGTGGTCTGAGGTGAAAACAGAAATTTTTGTCTGTAACAATCATGGATTATATATCTACATATTAAAACTGAAGTTATTACGGAGCAAAGCAGATGCAAGACAACACGACAAACTGCTCATTTCATTTATGATTGAGTTTGAAAAGCAGAAGTTGCAATAACTTGAGCCATATTTGACATCACGCAGCACAAATGTGTAATGTTCCTTTGTTGAAAGGTGTGGCGACAAGATGTTTTTAATGCTCTGGTTTTGTTTGTTTGACCATCACCAAGATTATGCAAAAACTACTGAGCAACAATTAAAATATTTAACAAAATAAGACAAGTTATGGTGAAATGGCCTCGGAGGAGGGGCTGCTGCTGCATTCTTGTTTTAGATAAGAAGCAAAGAGGGTCTACAAAGTAACAAACATTTATCCACAGTGTTTATATCACTTTTAAAAAGATAAAAAAAAATCCCAAGTTTTTCTAAGATAAAATGAGCCTCCACCATGACATCGAATCAGTTTTACTTGTAGAACCTGATGTAGACTGGAATTAAAATAAAAGTTTAATACCAGCAGCACTTCACAGCGACGATTAAAGTAGCATTTCTTGAAGAAAAGTGTGTCACCTGCCAACGTGTATGGCAAAAACATTTCTCAGAAAGCTAAAACAATTCGTTAGTACTCCGAGTGTACGATAGAGAAGACCTGAGCCAGCACCGCATGCAGCTTCTGTTCAATATCTGTCAAATGTATGGAGTTCTTGTCGTTTGTGTTTTTGGAAGGAATAGTTGTCAGCCATCGTGAATCGAACCGACTCCAAAGGTTTTTCCGTTGCAAATATATTTTAATGATTTTTTCCATCATGATCAGCTTCCGTGTGTAGAACCCAAAGTGCAGGAAGACGAGGAGACTCCAGTAAAAGAAGTAAAACGTTTATTATGATATAAAAATAAAAAAAGGCTGTCGGGGCAGCAGACTTACTGTAAAGGAGGAGACACGGAGGGATGAAGAAAACATGAAGCCTTGGAAGGGACAAGGACAATCCGGAGACACTGACAAGACACCAAGGGACTGAATATATACAGACACTAACAAGGTGAAATAAAAGGCACCTGCGGTGATTAGGATCAGACACAGGTGCGACAGTGATGGAACACAGGAGGAGAAATGTTGGAGGAGGGACAGGTAAACATGAGGGAAAAACACAACATGCAGGACCAGACCCCAGAAACCCCACTTTAAGTACTAATATATATATATATATATATATATACATACATATATATATACATATATATATATATACATACATATATATATACATATATATATACATATATATATATATACATATATATATACATACATATATATATACATACATATATATATACATACATATATATAAATACATACATATATATACATACATATATATATATATACATACATATATATATATATACATACATATATATATACATACATATATATATACATATATACATACATATATATACATATATACATACATATATATACATATATACATACATATATATACATATATACATACATATATATACATATATACATACATATATATACATATATACATACATATATATACATATATACATACATATATATACATATATACATACATACATATACATATATACATACATACATA